CCCTTCCCTTCCTCCCTCTTGTCTTCCTCCCTCTTGTCTTCCCCCCTCTTGTTTCCCCCCCTCCAGAGGGTGGCGGGACTAAGCAGGACCTTCTGAGCCATTAGGTCCATCATCTGCTCTTCTCCTCATATTGTCCTGGCCAGAAAAGTGTCTGGAGGCAGTTTGATCCTATCTCCCTCCCCAACTACCTGGGTCAAGCTTTGCAGAGCAGGAGCCTCCATTGCCAGCCATGCCCCAATGGCAGCAGTGCTCTCTGTGGGCCGGGGTCTCCGGACACAGCCAGCCGGGGGCCCTGGGAGGGCCATGGTTTCTTAGCAGGTCACGTAGCATTGATTTCACTTTAAAAATAAACTTGTGTGGCTTCTGTGTGAGAGGAAAGCAGCAATGCCAGCTCTGCAGCAGAGACCAGGCTGCGGGGTGCACGCAGTCGCGAGAGGGAGCTCTGTAGCTCCGCAGAAGGTGCCAGTGGGATGGTTTACGTAAAAGGAGTTCAGCAGAAGTGCATCTGCTCGCTGGATGTGGGCAGTGGTTACACAACGCCTGCCAGCACAGGCTCCCTGACTCGGGCACATCCGAGGGATGTCAGCCCCCCAGCGTCCCGCTGCAGCGGTGCAGTTCCAGTCAGTAGCATCTAGCCCCCCTGCCGCCCTCCTCCACCCACCCTGCTTCTATCCTTGCACCCCCTCATTAACCCCATACGGGCCCGGGACCTGCCTTGCTGCAAGGTGTCCTGCTTGGTTGCAGATGGGCAGGCTGCAACATGAGAGACCTCTCAGCTCCTCTGCTGTGGGACAGATGCTCCCTGATGTGGGGTACCTGGTTTTCTTTCAGAGATGTGGCACTGAGTCGTAACCTTGCACAGGGAAGACCCACTTCTCCCTGCTTGCCTCTGCTTTCCGTCCTTGTGCACCCCAGGGAATGAAATGCCCTTGCTCACAAAGCCCAAGTGGACAGGCAGGTATACGACCATCATCCCAGCAGCAAGCAGGAGCTCAGAGGGGTCCCTCTGGTGCAGCTCAGAGAACTGAGCCCCACTAACTCCTCACACAGGTGTAGTGTCTGGGCTCTGCCTAAGCCCCAGGACTCCTGTGGGTGCTGAGGGCTGAGAAATCATCCTTCTCTTCCAAGAGTTGTCTGATGCTTTGGTTATCTACTTGCTGCAGGTGGGGAAGTGTGGTATTTTACTGCTCACATCCCAGCTAGTGGATTCATCCTTGAGCCACTCCTCAGCTGAGGTTTGGTCCAATCTAATCTGCAACCTAAGGTGACCACTCATACCATTTAGACATTGACATGTATCACACAGGGCAGAAATTCCCTGTTTGCTCTCCTGCCTTAATGTCCTAGGGACACTGAGAAATATTACTTCCCATACAAGTTCTAGTTTCTATGCACCACAGCAGGTTTTACTCCAAACAGGAAGAGGCAGGCTTGGTGGAGTCAGTGGACACTTCCCTAAGCTGCTCAGCCCTCGCTGTCCAGGGTCCAGGACCAGGAGATCTGTGAGGAGAAGCAGTTTTTATGGAAATGACCAGCATTTCTTCCTCTCTGCTGGCCCACCTTGAGGACACAACTGGGGAGCTGACATATAACCTAATCCAGGGTTTGTGTTTTTTTGATCAAGTGGCCCATCTCCCTAATGTCTGCAGAGCTTTTGTTCCTCAGAGATTCAGAGGACATTCCTCAAGCTCCTTCAGTGCCTAGGAGGCCCCAGGGGCTGCCTCTCAGAGGCTGAGAAACCCCAGTCATACCTGGTCTTCAGCAAAAGACCTCCTTAAACTCTGATTTTAGGGTGCAGAATTGGAGACTCTCCCTGTGAAATGCTTGTAGTCCTTGGCAATGGTGTGTCTGCAGTTTCCTGGTGTTCAGACAAGCACCCATTCCCTTCCCTGTTTTGAGTAACCTCACAGTGGGACCACTGGGACAGTTACCTGCCACCCACATTCCTCCCAGCTATGTCCAGATCACCACCATTGGCACACTCTGCGTGTTAGAGTCCCTGCATCTCCTTTCATTTTCTTTCTCTGACTAGTCTTGTAATAAATAACTTTCTTTAAAACCAAAGCACACTGTGACCCAACCCATGTGTCCTCCACTCAATCTCTTCTCTGACTTTGTTTCCAAGTGATGAGGACGAGTTGAGGAAATCACTCTCGGAGCTGGTAGATGACAAATTTGGAGCCAGCGCGAAGAAAGTGACAAGGATTGTTGACAGCAGCAACCCCTTCCTGGACATACCCCAAGCGCTGAACGCAGTCACCTACAAGCATGGTGTCCTCACGCGTAAAACCCATGCAGACATGGATGGGAAGAGAAGTACGTGTTAACGGGACAGGAGGAGATATGCCCCAGGCAGTACCAGAGCTTTGCCCATACCATACCAGAGCTTCTCCATGGCTCTCCTGCTGAAGGCATTTCCTCACCATGTCCCAGGGAACACAAGAGAGATCCCCAGATCCATGAGAGCCAGGGCACAAGGAAAGGAAGGTGTTTTGAGGCATTTGTAGACATGAATGTTTTCAGAAGGCCTCAGTCTTCCCTTCTCACTGCCAAGGAACCTAACAGTGCCTGTCCCACACAGATAGACCTGGTCTTCCCTCCTGTTCATGGGCATAATCCTGAATCCCACACTCTGAGCAATGGGGTGAGGCTGGTTCCACAGCAGTTAACCCCAGCCCTGACCCTGGGGACAGTCTGGTCTTCAAAGTTTTGTTCTTGTCCATATTCTACCATGTGCTGGAAACAGTTGCCGTGTGCTGGCTGGGCAATAGGATGCCTCATAGCTCTGCTGTCCACATATGGGATTACAGGAAAGGTAAAGGAAAATATATTTGGGAACTGTTAATGAGCAAAGATTAATGAAACCTTGGATTACCCCTTCTGCTAATTGATATGATTGGCCCAGTCACTGCAGCCGATTACAAGTCTTGAGTAGAGATTACCACCAAAGGCCTCCCTTGCTTCCAGCACTTTCTTAATAGCCTGTGCCTGGAGGATCAGCTGTCTTGTGGTGATGTAGATGGCTCCCCTCACCTCCTGCCCCTCTCCAGCTTCCAGCAAGCTCTCTGTCCTCAAGTCCATCAAGATGACTGGTGGTAATGCTCCCTCCTCAGTGGAACAGAAGCTGCCTTATCCATGGTATGTCTGCCTAACTCATCTGAGGCAAAGGAGCTCAGGGAATGTCTCTGCTCCTCAAGCATTTAGCCCAAAGAACATCAGACTGGGTTTGGAGGAGCAGAGGCTTCCTGCACATGTCCACTGGTACCCCTATACCTGCTTGTGCTTCTGTTGGGAAGCTGCATCTCCCAGCCCGTGTCCCTGCAGACAAGCCACTCATAAGCAAGAGCTTGGAGGAGTATGAGGTCTGGGCATCAGCGCATGTGTGTCGTGGGTCAGGAGAAGGGTTGGTTTTGCCAGAAATGTGAAGATCAAGCAGCACTGGCAGAAGCAGACATGTATAATTAAATGTTCTTCCTTTTTTAGCTCCCAGAGGAAGAAGAGGTTGGAAGAAATTTTATGCTGTGCTTAAAGGGACCGTCCTTTATTTACAAAAGGTAACTGTGGCAGACTATCCCATTTGCTGTTTCATGCTGTCTCCAAAGCAGTCATGCTGGCCTAAGCAGGAGACCTATAGATGCAAGTAGAGGTGAATCCATGTCCTAATGCATGCATGGACATCTACAGAGCTCCTCCAGAGACCAGTATACAGAACTGGAGGATGCTGTCATCTTTGGTGGTGGTGTTCATTCTAAGGGCACTATTCACAGCCTCAAAAAAGGGCCAGACAGGAAGAAGTATGAAAGAGGGAACACTGAGGCAAGATTTCTGCAGAAGTGTCCCAGCAAGTAGGAGCTGTTGGGGAGGATGAATGAACAGATGGTATGGAAGAGGTGAAGCAGGATGTTGGTGAGACATGCAATAGGAAGCTGAAGAGGTGGAGCATCAGACCAGTCTTATCCTGCCTATTGTTTTATTTGCTGGCATATATCTGATTATGAGCAGCTTCACTGAGTCTGATATGGACCATGTCTAAAGTTTCTCTTCTCCTTCAGGACCTTGCTGAGCTGGGTCCTTCCATGGGTTGCCAAGTGACACTTTCTGCCTCTCTTCATCTCTGTTCATTCTGTAGCCACCTCTAGTCAACAGAAGTATAAATCCCAGGTCCTCATGGGAGGCAAAGTCACCATGGAAGAGCTTCCCTGCATGTTATAGCATTCAGTTCTCTGCCTTTCAAGACACTTGGATGCTAGGAGGATTTCCATGGATAGTCTTTTCTGTGGGAAAATCCAAGGAGCCTGGATAGGGGCTCACTTGAATGTCAGCGTGAGCCAGCCAGGGGTGCCAAATGTCTATTCATCATGCAACAGCGTAACCCACTGAACTAGGTCTGAACTACCTTAGTAGCACATGCTGTGCAGTAACCCATTGAACTCACCTTGTGGGAACAGCACTCCCTGTGGGTAGATGTTCTTATGTATTGCAGTATTGTCTCCAAAGCAATGAGAGTAAACAAACATTGGATTATATAAGAAAGGCAGAAAGATCCTCAGGGCAGCATGGAATTATGACTCAGAGCTCGTAGCACACCCCAATGATTCTCGTGTTTTGCCAGATCCTATGGCACATGTCACAGAGCCAACAGAAATCTGGCAGCTGATTGTAATTTACAGTATGGGTTGCTCTTAGCCAATTGGTATTTTTACAGCCTTGCCACTCTCTCCTGCAGCTGAGGGAAGCTGCAGCGTACAGGAGAGCCCAGGTCTTCTCCAACCCTCTAAGTGTGGCATTCTTCAAGTCAGTGGCACTCTTCTTACATGTCAGTCTCATGTTTTGTTACAAGTCTCCACATGGAGTCCACCAAAGAGGTCCTCATGCTGACCATGGGTGATGCATGAGGATTTACAGAGCTACCATGAGGATGGTACAGAGCTACCATCAACATTTAATTTTATTGCAGTTTTTCTATGGAAAAAATTACAATTTCATCAAAATCACAGGAACAGTTTGGATCTAAATGAATTTTTCACCAAGGACTTCTAGGGCATGTCTCTTGGGATGAGTCTGTTGAGGATGTATATATTTGGAATGAAATACACTTTCAGGACAGAATTTTATTCCCATGCTGGACCAAAATCCAGTTTACTGAAGATTTTCTTGACTGCTTGGACAGCACTGGAAGGAGCTGTGAAGCCAACACTGAGTGTCATTGCTGCTGATGGGGCAGAGGGATTGGGTTTTCTTTGCTGTACAACTCTAGCAGCAGTAACCATCCAGACTGTTATATTAACATAGTTTGTTATGTTAGTACTAGGTGTTTGGAATTTAAAAAGAGAGTGAGGGTGAGACTGACATAGCAGTTGAAGACCAATGTTCTTATCTAGATGACCTTCAGGAACAAATGGTTAAGAGACTGAGAGCTTTCTTTATGGACAAGGACTGAAGAAGCAAAACACCTAAGATCTGGCTAGGTTATGAAAGTGGCTGGTAAATAGCAGCCATGACTGGTGTGTAATTAGCAGCAGGGACCGGAATTGCCAAGGGTGCCCCAAGGAAGTAGCATTTGGAACAACAACAAAAATTAACCTGAGAAACGTTTGGGTAAAGGATTTGGGCAAAGAGGAGTTTCTTAGTCATGAGCTGCTGCCAGGCTGTATATGGTCCTCTTCAGAGGATTCCTTGGGCTGGGCTTGGCTGTAGACAGTCTCTATCAGGCTTGCAAAGACAGGACAGAAAGATGAGACCACAAAGACAAGTCCTTGTCCTGCCACTTCCAAACGTTCCCAGCACCACAACAGAGAGTGGATAAACATTCACCTGCCCTGTAGATTCTTAGTGCAATTTCTTGCCTATGGGGTGGTTTGCAGAATAAGAGAGTTGCACAATACAGGAAGGAAATGGTGTGCCGGCCTCCCAGGCTCTCAGCAGAAGATGACTGCAGATAAACATAAGGTAGAACCTGGCTTGAGCACAAATCACTGGGAAAAGATTTTCTGATGTGAAGATAGAGGAGAAAGTACCTGCTTCTAGACCCACCTGACACCATGGAGCACAGGTTCAGCCTGTTCTAATTTTTTGCTCAGACCAAACCAAGGACCTAGGCTTTAATAGGAAATTCCCATAAGTTTAATAGGAACTCAGCTTGGTTTGGGGGAGCAAGTTGAGTAGAAATAAGAGTGAGAGAGAGAGGGAAGGAGGCAGGGAAGGAGGGCCTGGGGAGATAGATGTGTAGAATGGAGGAATGGCCAGATACAGAGAGAGGTGGATATAAGATAGGCAGAAGAGTGAGTGGGTGGAAGGTAGAAGTCAGTCTATTAGAAGCAATTCAGGCACCAGCCATAAAACTGCTGATGTAGAGAGGTCACATGTCATTGCCTTGCCAGTGTTAATCGCTGGATTAGTGTGTTCTAGCATAGTCTGCTGAAGCAATTGCTTGATCCCGTAAAGGGATGCAGCACAGTCTTGAGGAAGAACTGCAGGCTTGGGAGCAGGGCGCACCTCTCATGCACTCTAATCTGCACTGGGCACTGACTCAGTCCATGGCCTTTGGCAACTTACTTCACCTCTGTGAAATGGGGATAATAACCCTTAATCACCACACATAGAGGGGTGTTGAGAGGAATGATGGAGAGCTATAAAACATGAGGTGTTTTTATATGGAAGTACTAGAAAGGGTGCAGGTCTTCCCGCAGGGTCTACTCTTGCAGCCCCCAACCATGAAGGAGTTCCCAGTGCAGCCCCAAGCCACGGATGCTGTCCCATGCAGGCAGGCCCTTGCCATGGTAGTGCTACTTGGAATGTTCATGACCAGACTGAAAAGGCTGCAGTGGTTAGTTTTCCTCATTAAATGGTTTGTTTAGGCTAGTAAATATGAGCTGAAGAAAAGGAAAAAGAGGAAAACCCACTCACAAGCCAGAGCATGAGAAATCTCTGCAGCTCCATGTCCATATTCACATCACTGCTCAGAGCTGGCGCTGAGTCCAGAGGAGAGGGCAGCAGGACCAATACACTGGGCTCTCTCACCCCATCCAGGTGTCCTACGAAGGCAGGCACACAAGATAGATGCCTTTTTTTGACAAAACAAGCTTTGAGGTGGGGAGCTCATATTAGTTGTGGATCTCCCACCATGTACTCACAGGGGTGGGCAGTAGGGGAGAGCTGGTATCAGAAGAGTGAACCAAAGACACCATGGAGCACTGCCATGGCAGAAACTAAGCCCAGGGAAGGGGATGGTCATGCAAGTTTAAGCAAAGCCTTTGTGCAGTCAGGAGAGGCACAGAACAGGGAGTTTGTCTACACCATCAACATTAAAAGCTGAAAATGAATGAAATTAATTTAGAGGGATTCTGAAACAAAACATCCACGCCTGGGCTCAATTCCTGCAGAAGATATCCCCAAAACAGACCCTGAAAATTGCTGACTCCCACCATCCTACACCTGGAGAACCAAGGGAAAAATAAACATGTCACCATTCAAGGGCTGGGGGCTAAGGGTAACTGGAATGGTGTGGCACAGCATACCTTGCCCATTTCTCAGTGACAAGTACCTGTGTGAACAGTGCAGGACACATAAGACAAAAATTCAACAGCCCTGTGATACCAAATCAACCCCTTTGCCAGGAAATGTATGGCAGGGTAACACCATGAAAAAGGTGAGAGTGAGGTTAATGGTACTATAGCATGGAGAAAACATTACCTGAAGTTCCTCCAAATATGATACTGCTTATGTTTTAGTATAAATCAGTTTCTTTGAGATTTAAACCAGAATCCCTTCACTGAAAGCATCTGTGTTACTATTATGTTTTTGGACACGTCTCTTCCTCAGCAGCAGTTTATGCAAACACTTAAACTGAAAGCTCAGAAAGGGAGTGAGGCAAAATGTAGAGAAGCTGCTGGAGGCTTTGGAGCAGATCTGACATGCTTTACTAAAGGGTAATGGGATTATTCTTCAGGGGAAGGCTACGCAGTGTAGCCTACACTATGGTGTAAGTGCTGGGCGCTGTCATGGCTCCAGCCGTGTGTGCATGGCATCACACAGCCTTGGAGCGGTTTGCAGAGGATGCCTGTTTAAGAGCACACAGAGGTCTCCCAGCTTCAGCAGCCATACATATCATCATGACCACCCCAGCACAGGCATTAAGATGAGCTTCCTGGCAGAACCGGCCTGCAGAAGTGAGCCTCCAGCACCATGCACTCCTGCAAACACAGCCTGTTTCCACCAGCAGGGAGGCAGAAAGTAGAGAGAAGCTGCTTGATTCAATCTTACACTGATTTACTAGGCCCAGTATTAGAAAAAGAAGATTTGGCTTTTCCTTACACCTACACTGATGCTTGTGAGCCTGAAATCAGTAGAGGCAATACATGATGATACCATTCGAGGTGAAGATCTGCATTAGTCAAACCGGTTTGTCACATGCCATTAAACCTGGCTATTTGCACTGTATTTTGAGAAAGCTTATCTTGAAATAAGGGATCATGGGCATCACAGTCAGATTTATTCAGATACAAAGAGCTTCAGCCTTGCAAAAACATCCAGAACTGGAAGTCTCTCTACAATATATGAGGTCTGAGCAGCAATGTCTTCCTCAAGCAACTTTTTCTCTCCAAATGGGGTAACATACTAGGCCATCATAAGGCAAAGCATTTGTTTTTCTTTGTTACAAGGCTAATAGCCCATTCCTCTGGCTATACTGCCTCACAGCACAGCCCATCTGAATGTCACCCCAAAAGCAGGGTGCCTGCAGCACTCACCCCTTCCTCTGCTGGAAAGCCAGGGCTTTTCTTTGGGGTTCACCCTTAAGAAGGCAGTTGCCTGAGCCGGTAGCCCATGCCAGACATTTCTAGGGTCTAGGCCCCATGGCATTTCTTTGCACAGGGCCAAGTATCATGTGCTGGTGAACATAGTATGGCAACCACTCTCTTGGATGAGATGATTGCTTCAAAAAAGAAGGGAAGGAAAGGCGTCAGAAGTTTATTTCCCATCAGAAGCAAGGGTCTGAATGAGCCACATCTGTGGGCAGGGGAGTCCTGGTCCCTGGTGCTCTGAAGAGCAACAGACGGGAGACCTTTCTGACCCTACACCAGAGAACGGCCTTACTGACCAGGGTTAGCAACCAGGAGACTGTAGCATGGCTTTTCCCTGAACAGCTGGATTTGTACCATCAGGACAGGAAAAAAACATCTTTTTGCAAATCTGCAGAACAGACTAAGCTCTAGCTTGAAACCTAAGGAAGGGCTGGGACACACAGACCACCACTATTGGACAGAGCCACCCCTGTGTTGACAGCCAAGGACAGTCAAGGAAAGCAAAACATAAGAGCAAATTAGTCCTGTAGGTTTGCACTGTAATCAGCAGGGCAAGGCAGATCCTTCCAAGGACACCCTGTCCTGACATGGCCTCTAACATGGTGGTGGTGGTGGCTTGTTTTAGCCAGGGCCAGGCTTTCTTACATCCACCTATCCATGCATGCGTGCATCTGTCCATCTGTCCATGCTACCACCCAGCTGGACCAGCTGTTGAGCTGGCAAGGGTGCAGAGTGGGAGGAAGGGTATCGCTTTAAGTGGCTGGGAGCTCAGTCACTGGAAAAGCAAAGGGTAAACACAGGATTGATTGAACTTTTTTTCCTTCAAATTGTCCTTCAGTGGAGAAAGTAAAGCAGGAATACAGAGAATGCTGCTGCAATTTGCAAGTGCCAGTCTAATGAATTACATGGGAGACCATGCCAAAGGGTCATACGTACTAAAGAGAGACCAAGCATAGTTCAGGTGGGCCATGCTCAGTCTGGCAACTGCCCAGCAAGCCCCACACCTGCACGGAGGTGCACTGGAATGCTGCGGTTCCAGAGCTGCCCAAGATGGTGCAAAACCCAAGCCCGGATCCTCTGCCACACAAAGCTGCAGCACCAGGGCACGCGCTCACTAATACCTGCCAACGACCGGAGGTTGCACCCCAGCTTGAGCTCTGCACTGTGGGTGAAGCTCTGTAGAAACCTGGCCCTGTCTTGTGCCTTCCCCTGAAGCCTCAGGCGTGTGCCGAGTTAGAGGTAACTATTGATAATTACGTTTAAAACTTTCATCTCCTTCTTCACATCTTCCCAGTGAACTTAATGATGGAAGAAGTTGCCAGATGTTAATTATTATCATTATCAGCTCCTAGCATTTACTATACAAAGCAGCGCTTTTCCTGGTCTCGGCACTCTGTGATTATAGCACAGAGAGAAAGGCACATTCATTAAAGTAGCCTGCAAATTTTAGTGTTGTCTTTATCCAATTAACGTTCCTCTTCACAGGATGAATATAAACCTGACAAAGACCTCTCTGAAGTGGATCTGAAAAATGCCATCCGTGTGCACCACGCCTTAGCCACGAAAGCCTCTGACTACAGCAAGAAGTCCAACGTGCTCAAGCTGAAGACAGCTGACTGGAGAGTCTTCCTCTTCCAGGCCCCGTAAGTACCAGCTCTTCCTGCAGAGCCTGGATGGACAGCCTGACCTCCAGCCACCACCAGACTCCCTCCGACCTGGCCAGATCAACACATGCATTAGGGGACAAACCTGGGGGGAGGAAGGTGCTGAGCAGGAGGGCTGAGGGTGAGGTCTGTAGGGCTGTGCAAAGGACTTGGTCATGGGGTCACAGTTTCTACCTGGCACTCTTGGTAGCTCTGTGTCAGTTGTGGAAGTACTTTTTCATCTGTCACCAAGGTGGACTGAGCAAGATGCGGTAGGATGTAAAGGGCTCCCCTTACTAACTTCTATTGTCAGTCTGTGGAAGGGAGAAAATCTATATGGTGCATTGAACTAAAGAGCTGATGGTTCCCCTTATCAGCTTTTGATGGGGAAACTGTCTAAAGCTCATTAAAGAAGCCTCCCCAGCCAAGCTATATCTTCTTTCTTCCTTAGTCCGTTGCAGAGGAAAGTTGCTCTGGTAATAAGTGTCAAGTGTGATTGAGTCATTTTCTGTCTGATGTTTTTATTGTCTCCTGCTGAGATAGGTGGCATTGTCTGTAAGTTGGGCTGGGGTACTAATGTCAAGCTAAAGCTTGACATCTGAATTTGTGCAGTGAAAATCCACTTGTAGGCTGGGGTGAGAAGTGCCTGAACAGATCTGATGAGGGACCTTGGGCAGTGTCCCATGAATGACACAAATGAGGGGTCCACCATGCTCCATGGGACCTCTGTTGTGTGGCTCCCGCTCTCCAAAGAGCAGGGTATCCTTGGCCCTTGCCACCATGCTACCTCTCCCCAGCTCCTCAGGGAATGCAAGCAGAGCTGATGAGGCAGGCAGGACTGCCAGGGCTTCAAGAGGCAGACAACAGCCCTGAAATCATTAGGGCACTGTAAAGGAGCCAATTAGCCAGTGTTTTCCTCTGTTCACAACCCAGGGTGGCACAGAAATGGCTTCAAAGCAAGGCCACTGATGGCCCTCCTGAGAGTGGGTGGCTCCCAGGCTGTTCTGAGCTGGCTGGTCAGGAGCATTTACAGACACCCCCTCTCTTCTTCCCTCCTCCATAACAGAAGTAAGGAAGAAATGCTCTCCTGGATCCTGCGAATCAACCTTGTTGCTGCCGTTTTCTCTGCCCCAGCCTTCCCAGCTGCAATCTGCTCCATGAAGAAGTTCTGCCGCCCACTCCTGCCTTCGTCCATGACCAAGCTGTGCCAGGTAACGTGTGAGAGAAAGAGCGATGGAGGTGTGCTCAGTGCTTCAGCACGCAGCTCAGGCTGAGCCCATCTGCAGCTCCCCCAGCTCCTGCCTGATAGATACATTCAGGGGCTCAGGGCAGGAACAAGGGAGTGGAGTGGGTGACTTGGACAGACTGTGGCAAATCCTGGTGTCTGGCCAATGCTTCCTTTGCAATGGCTATAAAGCAACCCTATGCTCAGACACCTGCCTGTATGGCTGTTGATTCTGGCTTGTTTATTGCTCTTTGCCCATCACATCCCAACACCTTTCTGTTGCCGCAGTTGAAACAGCTGATGCTACTGAGCCCAGCAGCTGGCTACAGCTTTGGTTTATTTTATAACATGGCATTCAGAGGTGGCACCCTGTTATTTCTCAAGCCGAAAAGCCACAGACAAAGGGGGAGTCTCAGTGGGGAAGGTTTTCTGGAAGCAAGGGGGCACGGTGCACCAGACCATGTCTGCCTAAGGCTCAGTTAACCAAGAGCAATGGGCAGCTGCCATCCAAACAGTAGCTTTTCTTTGCACTCTCCAGGGAAAGCCTAACATGCCTTACCACCTCCGAAAAGTAGGGACACACTGCCACTGGCCCCCAGCAAAGGGAAGGACAGCCTGAAATGTCAGGGCAGAGATACAGCTCCTGTATACTGAACCAGATGTGGCCAGATGTCGCCTTTCTCAGAGCCCAGATAGGGGGCTCTTTTTATCTCAAAAAAGAGCAGGATGAGCAGCTCTTGAGACACTGCTGGTTCTGCCTGGCTGTTAAAGGATGCAGAGCATTTAATGCTTATGATGCTAAAGAAGCCCAGGTGCCAGAGAAATCCGCTCTTGGCACTTGCGATACATGAGTTTTAATCTTACTCAAATACCTGTGTTTCAGCTGCTCCTTATCAGATGAATTTGCAAATGTACTGCACACCTTTGGCTCCAGCACAGTAGCTAAGCTTACATCCTTGCAGAGATAGATCCCACATCAACAGGCAGGCGGTGCACTTGGGTGTTGCACTCCTACATTTTAATACCTGACACGCTTCTCTCGGCAGGAGGAACAGCTGAAGTCTCATGAAAATAAAATGAAGCAGATTGCAGACGAATTAGCAGAGCATAAATTACATCCTGTAGAGAAGAGCCTCAAGTCAAAAGAGGCTGAGGAATACAGACTCAAAGAACATTACCTAATATTTGAGGTAAAGGAACTTTCATCTTTTCTGTGATAAATGATGCCTTGGCTGATTGAGGAGAACTAAGAACTCCGGAGTGGATGCTGTGAGCCTGGGAGAGCATGAAAAGAGAGAGAAGGATGAGGGCTCACAAGCTGGATGGGTGTCTTGGGGCAGCAGCAAGCCTCACTGTTTTGCACTGAAGCTAAAAAAAGAAATAACAGACATTTCCTCCCCTCTGTGATTTCTAACCAGAGGAGGGGAAAACTGATGAGAGAAATAAAATCTTCTGTGCTGAAACTTGACATTTCCTCAGGTCCCAAGTAAGAAAGTGGTTCAGTTCTTGGTGTGCATTAGTCTTTTTCAGCAAGATTAATAAAAAGCTAAGGGAATCCCTGGGAGATCTTCTTTTGCTGCAACTGTTTCTGTAAACAAAGCCAAAACCAGCATTATGGCTGATTACAGACCCTTTGAGGATGCATGTAGCTAAGTTTAAACTCTCTGCAAAGTCTAAGAAGCATTTAATTTGTGGGAGAAATGGGATGTTTTGTTCCAGTGAGAGCTGAGCAGAAAGTGTGATTCCTGCCACATAGGTGTCAGTGGGAAGGGATTGCTGGAGGCCTCCAGCCCTGCTTCCAGCAGGAGCTTGGATTATTCCCAGTATTAGCCCAGGCTGTGTCATTTTGTGGCCGAGTCTTGGAAATCTTCAAGGATGGAAATGTTCCACCTCCCACATACCAGGGCTGCACCACCCTTTTATGTGATGCCCAGCCTGACTCTCCAAAGCCACAGTTTCTTGCTGCTTGTTCCCTTGTCTTTGTACCAACCCTTCAAATAGTTGCTTGCTGCTGCCTCCTGTTTTCCAGACATCTTGTTTTGGATGCCTGCAGAGAAGTCTCCATCTGAGTGTTTTCTCTAGGCTGTCTTTTCAGTCTGCAAGGAGAAGTTGGCACTTCCAGAGCATAATTCATCTCATCTGTCTTACGAGATGTGTTCTAGAAATGCTTGTTTCTCTGTGCTGACAAAGAAGCGAGTATAGGCTGTCTCTGAGATGTTAGGGGAAAGGACAAGTATTGCGCAAGTCTGTAAAAAGAGGTCCCATCTAGCCTTGGAATAAAGGTGCCTGGCAGAGAGGAGATACCTCCCTTTATGCTGTGCTCTGTGAGGAGCAATGGGGGCACAACTCAGCAGTAATAAGTGAATCACTGGATGGAAAAAATGGCAAATAGAAGTATTTGAATCAATCAAGGGGAACTTCTAAATCAGGAAGAAGCAGATCTGTTTTGCCTCCAGTATCCGCCTTATCGAACAAGAGTGGCAGTCAAGATCCGTAAAGAGCAACTGGAGAGTCTTGCACAAACCTCCCCTTTCTGCTCAACCCTTTCAATGATGGGTTGATCAGTCTTTGCAGGCTTTGCATAGACCAGGCATTGTGCTGTGGTTAAACAGTACTTGTTGGGTATGATTAGTGGGATCCTGATGATATAGGATGGGTTTTCCTGCAGTAGCAGATGGCATTGCCTCTGCTTTCCATGCATGTCATGGCCTGTACCTGTTCCCAGGCTCTCTGTTCCCTCTTTCCCTGCAGAAGAGCCGCTATGAGACATACATCAACCTGCTGTGCATGAAGATAAAAGTTGGGACAGATGACCTGGAGAGAATTGAAAGCAGCTTCTTCAAGGTGGAAGCTGACGACATTGCTTTGCGGAAGACACATTCAAGCCCTTCCTTGAGCCAAGGGCACATGTCCATCAGCTGTAAGGCAGAAAAGGACATTTTAGAGCAGAACACTTAACAAGGAATGTGTGCACGGGGGTATGAACCGGTGATTCTTTGCGCTCCTGGACTAGAATGATGAGCACAATTTTACCTAGGAAATGAGCAAAACTGTAGACATGTATGATACGGTGATCGATCTAGTGAAAGAAATCAAAAAAAGCTTTAGTTGACACTCTCTGGCAATGCTCTGGCATTTCAGCATCATAGACACACCATCTCTTCTCCATCCCCAACAGCACCAGTGGCTTTTCTTTCCCTCCTACCGCAGCCTGCACAACAAAGGGATATGCTGGTTCTCCAAGGTCCAGGTTGCTCCACCAGCCCTCTATCTCCTCCTCCTTCTCTCCCTGGAGTCCCCACTGGTTCATGTCCACAGTTCCTGGCAGTGCAGGAAACTCAGTCGAGATGACGATCTGTGGCACCACCAGCACTCCCAGAGAAGGGCACAGAGTGGCAGGGAGCATGTCCCTCCCCTGGGAGGAGCACCGTTCAGCACTTCGCGATAGGACGGGTGTCATGAGCTGGTCACCGACCAAGCAAGAGGCGTCTTCAGCACGGCATGTGGGAACATCATCTGCCCATGGCAGGAGAGGCCTGAAGTGTCCTATGTCACCTTATCCTTTTTATATATATATATATATACATATGAATATATATAAATAAATATATATAAGGAAACTTTAATGTGGGTTTTTAACCTCAGCGTGCAAGTGAAGGCAAGCTGCCTGGGGAAGACACTAGGGACCATGGAGGGTCTGACCAGCCCACCAGGGTGTTTTAAAAAATACAGTAGCCTATGTATCTTTTTTTTTTTTCTCTCCTTTTTTTTTTACTCAAATGGAAATCTCACCTGGCTTTGCTGTGAAACGTCACTCTCCTGTTCCTACTTGTTCAGACAAACTGGCCAAGTGGCTGCTTATTTAGCATCCATGGCGTCGGCCACTTTGGGTGGCACAATTGGAGCCATGCTTCAGATCCAGCTGAACCTTTGTATGCAGGAGTAATTCCACCTGCCCATCAATGTTGTACTTCCTTCATTTTGCAAAGCACATGCTATACTCTTTTAAGCGGGGAATTGTGTTTCTGTTCCTTTCTGCTGCCTGTGATCCAATGATTTACTGTTGTGCTAGAAGTGATTCCTCTGCATTTCAATGCCATGACTGTCCTCCCACACTTTATTTATTTATTTCACTGTTTGGTTTGGTCCTTTATCTCAGATTGCTTTTCTTTCCCCTAGGTGCATTCACAGTAATCAAGTTCCAGTTTTGAAGGATCTTGTAGCTGCTAATTACAGTCATTTATTGTTTATATTTTGCAGCATTTTTTTAAACAAACAAAATAAGATTTATTTGGACCTTCAGTGTTTGAGAGCCTATGGACTACTGTTTTCCATGATGGTTCATGACACTAAAAACCTCTGCCCAACTTTGTCACCTCTTCTTTTATCTCTGTTTCTTTGTACAGTTTGATAGTTTATTTGAAATGAAGCACTAAGAATCATGTAAAAAAGTTTAACAATAAAGCTGAATCTGTTGGTAAGGAGAATTGGTCTGAAGTATAGTTCCACCATGTGCTGGATTGGTCCAGACTTCATGGCACTAGATGGCCAGGCTGACACAGATCTCCACCAGCACCTGCCAAATGAAAACCAGGTTCCTATGGACAGACAGCACCAGAAAACTGCAATACCTTTCCACAAGTGGGGTACCAGCCCACCCATCCTCCTCGGTGCTGAAAGCACTGGCCTGCCCATGCTTTGGATGGATGGCTCGCCTGTGAAGCAGGGACAGATGGGTGTGGACCAATGGGCTGCTTTGGGAACGTATTCAGGTAACTCTTCCCTTCCTCTGCTGCATCCCAGGTCTGCCTGTCCACTTGCAGCCTAGAGCTTTATAGGAGGAGAAAGATACCAACATCTGCATTGGTGGTTGGAGGTGTTCTGGGAACTGTTCCCAGAGGAGCCCATGGCTACATTGAGTGTCATGGCTGTTTCCCCAAGGCATCATGTGTTTTGCTGTGTTAGGTACTGTACAGACATCCCTTGCTCTGAAGACCTCCAAGATGCTGCTACTCACATGAAGCATCTGGTGCTCAAACTCACGCAGTGGAAGCCTGGGGGAAAGCCAGGCCTGAATCTTGCTCTCCAAAATCACAGATAATATTTTGTACCTCAGCCTGTCCTTTCTGGCCATCACCTCCAGCAGGCAGTGACATCTCCAGTGTGTTTGAGGAAGCCACTAAGAGCAGCTCAGTCCCCCGTGTTGAAGGTGCCAGTCTGCCATCCTCAGTAAGGACTAAGTTGCAGGGAAAAGCAGGGTCTTGCAAAGTCTCCTCTGGGCACCAGGAAAGGGCCTCAGAGCCATGAGACTTACCACCCAATGGATGTAGAAAGGAGTGGCGGCCAGCACTAACAGCCCTTGGCAAGACAGTTAAGAGGGTTCAACTTGCACTTATTGACAACCAGCAGTTTTCCCTGAAGCACAAGTACTGATCCGGGTGCATATGCATGTGCAGATGTGGTGAGCATCTTACCTACAAGAGAGCACTGAGAACACCCAAAAATGCCTTGTTTGACCAACCCGCAGCCTCAGCTTGTGACCAGGAGCTTGTGCTGTTTTTTCTCCCTCTTCACCTCCCTGGAGGTGAAGGACTCAGCCAACCACCACTGAGAGAAAAGCAGCATATCGGAGGAATTAAGCAGCCACATCTTTTTCTCCTCCTGGAGGTACCCAAATGTACCTTCTGGCACAGTCCCAGCCTGTGCCAGGCCCTCCAGCAGGCAGCATGGCTGCTGCGGATCTCAGACAGTATCCCCTAACAGTGCTGGTTCAGCCTGACCTTCCTGCCAAGCCCCTTCTCCTGGACACAACCTGACACCAAATTCATTTTAGAGAGATTGTTTTGGGGAGGGGGGGAGGCTTTTCAATCCCAAAGCCAGGATCCAATGCTCCTCTCCTGCTTGTCTGCTCACCCTGTCTGTGTCAATGGAGCAATTCCCTCCCCTCTGGGAAGCGTGACAAAGGCATTGCACATGTGGAACTGAGCTGGCAGGAGTTTTTGGTGGCTCCCCCCACCTGTGAAAATTGCCGTAAAATATTTACAGTCAAACCCTAGGAATACACATGGCTGGAAATGAGTCGTCTAAAAATAAACCAGCCAGGGAAAAAGGAGAGAGATACAGGCTTTCTTCAGAGGCAATTGGAGAGAAAATTGAAGTAGTGTAACTGCCTCCAAATATAGAAAGCAATTATGGGAATCAAGGGGCATGTTGAACAAGAAATCACCACAAGAAATCATGAGGCTGCCATGGCTCAGAGCTAGCAGCGTCTCAGCAGATGCAGAGCATCACAGATCCGTGCAAACCATGGAGCAGTAAAACATTCCCCTGCATGGGGCAGTGCTGGGCAAACCTGCAGCTCCTTTCCGAGGGACCCAAAGAGCAGATCGTGACATTGATGCCTGGTGTGGATCAGCTGCACTGAGCACACCCTGAGGTTTGGCCACATCATTGCTCTTCACCCCAGCCCAGAGCATGGCAGCAGGAGGCCCAAGAGCTGCAGCCTTCTTGTAATGCAGATGCTGCTGTGCCAGCCCCAGGTGTACTTCTCTATGAACAGAGCTCGCCAGCTCACAGACACTGAGGAAAGCCAGGCAGGGAGATGAGGGTTGCTTTGGGAACCAAAAGGGCCCCCATCTCTCTCTTCTATGTGGCTGGTTTCCCCAGGGATCCTCACCCTTGGTGACCTTCCACGTGTGTCCTTTTCAGAGGGTCAGGTGCTCTCTGCCCGTTCCTGTCCATCTCACCATGCTTCAGGAGCTGCTGGAGGAGATAAGTTGGGGGACCAAAGGCAATGGGGAGTCACAGCCTGTCCCAAGAGTAACAGGAGGGTGGAGTGGCACGGTACTGCTGCTTTCATCCAGCAAGGCTTGGAGCTGCGCAGAATTGGAACGTGATGTGTCCAAAGGTTACATGGCAAATGTCACCCAAATCAGGACTTGATCCTACTGCCTTTATCCCCAGTTCTAGACATCCAAGACCTCCTCTGCACATTGCTGTTGGGTCACATGGGCCTCGTGGCAGGAGGGCAGGATCCTTTACCTTTAACCTTTTGGGAAATCAGTGTTGAGATTCCTTTATTCAGGGTGAAGTGCTGAGCCCTCTGGTCTGGCTGGAGTCTCCACAGCACATGCGATGGATGTTAGGGGTGGTCTGTGACCCAGTCAGGTCAGCTCCAAGGCAATGGGCATCCTGGGGGTGTTGGAGCAGAAGCAGCCCAGGCTGTGGGTGTGCTTAGCCTGGCCTTCAGCACTGTGAGGACCGGGGACTTCTCTCATGGCTCTGGGCATTCCTATGGGGCCAACTCAGACCAGTGTATAGCAGATCCCTCTCCTACTAGATGAGTTCAGCTGGGACTTTTGGGCACCTGTTCATCTCACTGAACAAGGGAGTGGGGTCCGAGCTGGACTGAGCCACAGGTGCAACCTCAGGAACTGTGCTTCCTGTGATCATACCATATTCTCAGTGGTTCCCCTATATGGGGGCTAGCCAGAGACACAGACTGGCCATGGAAGAGCTGAAGAAGGGCCCTGTTTTGTGGGTGGGCAGATGTTGCATGGTGGCACAGCACTTGCAGAACTGGACGCAACACATCTCCACTCTACTGCAAAAGTCACTGAAATTGGTGCCAGTATGTGAAGCATGTGGCATGTGACTTGGCCATTCTTGGCACAACAGAAAGCTTCCACAGGTAGGGTGAAAGGGGATCTCCTGGTCTGCAGGTGGAGAAGGAATGGCATCCCGCCAGGAGATGTGTGGGTAGCATCCACTCACCTCAGTGAGCCTCCACTCCTGAGCCCTGCAGTGAAGGTCAAATGTCCATGCCAGGTAGAAAAACACCCACCTCTGGGTCTTACTGGCATAAAGATGTTTACAGAACCAGAGCATTGTTCATACAAGGAAAGGCTGAGAGAGCTGGGACTGTTCAGCCTGGAAATAGAAGGCTCAGGGGGATCTTATCTATGTGTATAAATACCTGATGGGAGGCAATTAAGAAGAGGGAGCCAGACTCTTCTCAATAATGTTCAGTGACAGGACAAGAGACAATAGGCACATATTAAAAAAATAGGAAATTCAGTCTGAACACAAAGACACTTTTTTGCTTTGAGGGTGACCAAGCACTGGCAGGGGTTGCCCGAAGAACTTGTGGTGTCACCATCCCTGGAGATATTAAAAACCTGACTGGCACAGTCCTGGGCAACTGGCTCTGGATGAGCTGGTTGAGCCGGGGAGTTGGACCAGATGACCTCTAGAAGTCTCTTCCAAGCTCAACCAGTCTGTGATTCTGTGTATGATACCTGTCACAGCTCCCCATTTGCTCCCCAAATTACCTCAGATTAATGCAGCCCACAGTTTGTTATTTCTTATTTTATTTATAATATAAAAAATGTTCAAGTGTTAAACAGTCGAGAGTTCTGACATTCAGACAATCCAGAGCAAACTTTGACAATCATCTTATGACAAATTAGCAGAGTTTTCTATCTGACCCCATCATGGGTGAGGAATAGAGGGTTTAGTAACTTTATTGCTAAAAGTTAAATGAAATACACTGTCAATTGTTGTATTATCTTCTCAGTCACAGCTTCACCATGCATCCAATCTACAGTATCTGAAATGCAAAGGACATGCAGAAGTAAAAATCTAAAAAGAAAAAAGTCAGGCTACAATGTAAACAGGTTTGCTGCAGAGAACTGAGGAGAGAGGGGCACTTCCACGGGGGATGCTCTGCCACCTGGACACGCAGGACTGTCTCTTTGCACCACGGAGCTGATGGCCAGAGCTGCTCCGAGTTTGGAAACATGACATCCATCATCGATGGCAAGACGTGATGGTAACAACTGTCTTTACAATATACGGCACAGCAGTACAGAAGAATCCGCTCGCTGGGCTGCCCCTTGCAGGGCCTTTCCCGGCCAATGCAGGGGCGACAAGCGGGGCCAAAAGTGCTCGGGCTCCTGCCAAACCCTGGGACAGCACAGCTGGTAGCTGCCTGGCATAGCATCCAGGGCAAGTCGTGGCTGTGCTGCACCACGGGGACGCCCTCCAGGTGTCCTCCCGGCACCGCCTGAGCCTGCGGCTCAGCACAGCACACAGGATGCCACAGCCCCGGCAGCCCTACGGCACCACGGTACACAGTGCCACGGCCAACACCGCACTGCAGCTACACCACTCAGTCAAGGGGATGCTGTGGCCAGCATGGCACCAGTATGGCAATGCAGTCACAGGGCACTGCAGCTGAATGGAGACCACCCTGTAGGGACCACCGCGCAGTGCCGTCTGTCTGCCAAGGCTGGCTTCAGTGAACTGGATTCAACCGTACGTAACGGTATTATTTCACCACATTCATACAGGTGTCTGCCTTGTTTGACTACAAACCTGCGCCAACTCAGCTTCAGACCCACAGGTGAAACAGCCAAAGGTTGAGAGCTATATTGTAAGGGCTGCTGCCGCTGTGTGATTTAATTTTCTTTTCCTATCTGTGTGGCAAAAGAAACATTATTTCTGCATTTTAAGTACGGTGCTGTTGGGTTTCTTTTTCTCCTGATTTAAGTGAAAATACAAGAATTTTACAGGGCAAGACAGATCCCCATTAGACATGATTAATGGAAATGCTCCCACTCATGTCCTTGATGTGTGTTTAAACGATACCTTAAAGAATAAGATCATTAATAGCAAGGTATGGGGCAAAGTGGCAAGGCTGTTTTCTTCTGACAGAAGAGCACTCTTGTGACAGGTTGTCTCCCAAACAAAAATCTATGATCTTAAAAATGCTACTGAAACAGAATCCTCAGCATGAATCCCAGCACTAGCATACAGCAAAAGGCACCACGATAGTTTTGTTTTCTATTTTTAAGTAGTCAAAAATTGGCCCACTTTTTTTATAACTTTATTGTTTGTTTTCTTTTCTTCTTTTTTTTTTTTTTTCACTTTTTTTTCTCGGAAGCTGTAAATCAAGACATTACATATAAATAGAGATTCCCTATAAAAAAGTCATTGCCATTAGCTATTATAAGACAACTTTGCTAAAATGAAAATAAAACATTTTATTTGTTATATTTTTTCCCTCTTTTATATAAAATAAAAATATTTATTTTTGTTTTGTCTCATCTCCCTCCTCGGCCTCCTCCATGTGGGTTACGTCTGCGGGCGCGCGAGTCTGGGAGGCGCCTAGAGAGGATCCGGGTCCGGTTTGGGCGTTGTGTGCACCAGGCTGCTGCGCCCACTCTCCCCGTGAGCGCTGTGTCTGCTGCAGGAGTAGTGAGTCCGGCTGTCACCTGGCCGGTGGAGCGGGGGCGACTCTGTGTGCGCCGCCTCATTGTTCTGAGTGCTTAGGAAGGGGGTGCTCTCGGCCACCAGCTCCTCATCAGACTCGCTGTAAGAGGCGCTGCTCAAGGAGAAGGAGTCCCGGACGGCTCTGGCTCTGTGAGGGACGTGCCCGTTCAGTTTGGATTTTTTCCACCGCCTGTTGCTGCTGGCTGTTTTCTTTGGCTGCTCTAGCGCTGTGACATACTCCTGCGTCGTCTCGTACTCATCATCCTCCGTGATGCGGAAGGGGCTGGAGGGCAGGCTCCCCATGCTGTCGTTTAGGTAGGTCTTCCTTTGGTAGTAGCTGTCGTACCTCTGCGTGTCCTGGAAGTGGAGCTGGTACCGCCGCAGGAGGGGCTGCTGTTCCTCCACGCGGAAGCTGATGGGGGCCGCCGGCGGCAGGGAGACGGCATGCGCTGAGTTGGGGGAGGTGATCTCGAAGGTGGGCACCTGCGCAGGCATCGAGTAGTGGAAGTCGACAGGCGACAGGCGTGCTGGTGTGGTGAGGGCCGACACGTACCTGAAAGGAGCAACACCTCCGGTTGGACACCTAACAACCCCAAAAGCCTTCAGCTGTGCCCACAGTCTGCTGAACACCTGGTGCAGGGACCCACAAGGCCTCCAGCGCACCTGGTCCTGGAGCTTGGCATCTCCTGGGGAACCAGGCGGAGGGACCTTGCACCGCTGTGCTGAGGGAGGATGAGCTGCTGGCTTCGGTGGCCGCTTGGGCACCATGCACCGTGCATTCTGGGACTGCCACTCCTGAGGGACTTGGTGTGCAATTCCCACCCTGTATTGCTGCAAACCTTGCAGTATCTCCCAGCAGGCTGAGTCAAGACTTCCCTGCCTCTCGTCTGCCTGCCAGCTGCTTTCTGTTCCCTCTGGAGCTGCCAGGCTTATCTCCGAGGAAGGTCCCTGAAATGCCCTCTCCCTGCTCAGGTCACGGATGGGGAAAACCTGGGCATTGCTTCCTCTGACTTAGCAAAAAGCTTGTGTTTCAAAAAGGCATCCTCCGCTTTCATCTACTCTAGTGACAACATCAGTGTGGCAACTCAGGTCTGGTCTAGACCCTCTCCAAACAGCCCTTCCTTTGGCAGGGCTTTTTCTAAAGAGCAGATTTCATTTCCTCTTGATAGGGCCAGCTGGTGTCTCTGCTTATTTCAGGCTGCCCAAGCTCTCTGGCTCATCCTGCCTTTTTACCCACGTGTCTTGTGAAGTATGAGATGTCTGTACGAGCTGGGTCAGTCTGCCTGAATGGACTGGGGACATGAATGAGAAAGCAGGAGATGCTGCCTTTCTCCTCTGCCCCATGGATAAGTCCCACTGCCTTGAAGGGTAACTGCCCAAAAGTGTCCACATGGCCACCCAGGGTTGCCCACTGCTGCTCACAAAGGGCTGGAGCGAGGGTGGAGGTGTGTTTCTGCACCATGAGGAACCAGATCTGGGAAGACAATGACTGCTTCTGCCTCTCACTGCCTGATGGAGTCTCAGCTATGCAGTTGTGTCCCCCAGAAGGCTGGGTCATACAGACCCCTGTCCCAAGGCTGTGCCCACATACAGCACCCCTGTTCACCAGGCCATCCAGGACTATGCTAAGGACACACATCTTTTCCCCGTATACCTGAGGACCAGGCCTTGCTTGAGCTTCCAGCCCACTAAGCTGCCCGGGGTGTAGCTTTCAGCCAGTTTTTCTTCACCAGTTGCTGACTGCAGCCAATTATTTCCTACTCCTCTCATCCCTGTGCTCCAAACCTATGTTGCCACCAAGTTAGCAGGGTGCAGTGCTTGCTCCTGCCCCTACCAGAGTGGCCTCCTGGGGTAGTGGCTTCCTCTGGTAGGACCAGAGCTGGAGTTTGTCTGGTGTTACCACGGGACTGCTGCTCTAGGGCTGGCAGAGGAAAACATTTTTGTGTCCAGCACAGAGGGTATGGCTTGCCTCTGCTGTGCCAGGGCAGCACCAAGCAGTGGGGTCTGACCTCTCGCTGTGCGGTGAGTCCCGCAGAGAATCCACCGAGTCACGATACTGCGTCATGGGCCTCCGCGAGTCCTCAATGCAGAAGGCAGCCCCACGGCGAGCCCGTGCCTCCACACACGCAGGGCTGTTGCATTTACTGGTTCCCACTGAGGACAGCATTATCCCAGACTGGGAATCTGAAGTCAGGCTCTCTGTCCGCTCCAAGCTCCAGGTGTGGCTTTCATGTCTGTGGACCAAACCCCATATGGACAGTGAACAAGGAATCCCCACCAACATCTTCTCCAAAGAGCTGCATGCAGGCGCAGCTCATTCCAAGCTCTCACTGGCATCCCCTTTCTCTCTCTCACTAGGATACATCTGGCCAGGGTTGCCCAACTTCCCAACCTTGCCTTTGATTTGCCTTTCTTTTCTACTTCTTGGAGATATGATTAGAGAGTAAAGAAAGGCAAACCAGTGCATAGTGCATATTTATCACACCACCTCCTGATGGCCAGGGACAGGACAGGACAGCCTCTGGAGGAGAGAATTCCACCATTCTGGGTGTGGAGCAACGCATTGGCTGTGCCAAGGCAAGTCCACAAAGGATCTTCAAATATGCCATCTGCATTGCCAAGTGACAGCCCCTTCAGAAATGCTACCAGAAAGGAGCCAGAAAAGCCTACCAAAGGTAGATCTAGATGTTCAATTTCCAGTGGTTTATAAAAGATTTTGGCAGCAAAACATTTTCAAGGTGCTAGACAAAAACTATCATATGTTGGCTAGACCTTGCTGAGCACTTGGAGCTCCACCTGCCCTAGTTTTGGTGCAAAGAAGACATCCCATGAGGACTCACTGGGGACGCATGGGGCCATGTGCACACTGGGGGCCCACCCGTGCCACGGCCACCAGACTGACCCCTCTCCGTAGCAGAAATATGTGAGCCATTAGAGCAACAGCTCTGAACTCCCAAACTGCACCAGATGGAGCTGTGCCAGCAGAGGATTTGGGGTGGGGGTTTGCAGAGGAGAGCAGGCCTCATTAAGACTTCCCAAGAACTTGTTAATTATTGATGGCTCCAGGCACATGCTTGGCTGCAACCACCACACTCATTTATAACTTCAAACGGTGTCCTCATTAGAGGCGCTGATCAAGTAAAATGGAGCCTGATTATGCCAGTAGTTTGCCTCTGGCATGACTTCAAGAAACACCTGCTCGCTGCACTTGACTCAGGAAGATTAGGTGGCAGGTAGCCAGCACCCGAGGCCATGCAAGGTAGGTGCCTCCCCACAGCTGTCACGTGTTAATGCTGCCCTCCAGACACACCTTTGTGTCTTCAGGAGGTGCCCAGAGATGGCCCCAGGGTCCCAGAACTTTGAAGCAAGCATGGAAGGCCAGCAAGGTGCATCTCTGCAGGCACAGGATGCAGCCTGCGCCTGGCTCAACCTTGCACACACCTAGCCAGGGTTGGACTGCAGCATACAAATTAAAAAAAAACTGGAAAACACACCGTCTAGCTCACCAGGGGTAGGATTTCCCCAGACAAAGACAGTAATTTCCAGCCCAGCAAGCCATTCTTGGCTCCCTCTCTCCTTGTTGGAGGTCTAGCCTGAGGAGTCTGGGGAGGAATTCACCTGAAAACCTAAGTTCAATATCTAAAGTTGATCTTCTGCATTGTACACCGAGTGTACTTGCTCATCCCTGATGAATGCTTGAACCCTGAAGAAACCTGCCAGGAGCCATCTTTGAGCTTTAACTGAAAGGATTAATTGCTTCCTGTACGAATGGAGACAAACACATCGGGCTAATGAAGTAAATAGCCAGGACATCTTTTGCTTTATCAAGTCAATACTATGTGATCTACACGTCATTGACAGGTTGTAGAGATATGGCCCACCTACACCTTGCAGTCACTTTTCAAAGGCAACTGCTCTCCTAGGGAAACACCATCACTTACTGAAAGAAGGACAAGAGCTATCTACGAGGAAGAACCTGAACATCCAAACTCAAAACAGCACAGGACTTTCTTTCTGAAAGGCTTTTCTGGACACCATAAAAATAGGGAAGCTCCATCTGCAATTTAAATGCTCTCAAAAACTGTGAGAACTTCAGCTTCTGAGCCATGCTGCTCTTCCCCCCGATGACTATTTTGAACTGTAAAAAAAAATTATGCCTCATCCTGTGTAGCAAGAATTATTGGTACTTTTCTGCTAGCCCCAGTTTTCCTGACAGCTTCAAAAAGATTTCCAGTGAAAGAGGTGCCACCACCTCAGAGGCTGAGATTCTAATGCAATTTTCTGGACTGTGATAAATTGCACAGGAATGTTTTTTCTGGTGAAAAACTGTGACTCCCAAGTCAGACCCTAACTTTGAGGAACTGGCCAAAACATCTTGTGATATTTTGTGTACTTCGCATTCCACAAGGCAAATACATTCTAAATATATCAAGCATGAAACGAATAACCTGTGTGTGCTTAATGAATTATTGCAAGTGTCCAGTGTGGTTGCAAACACAACTTGCAAAACCTTTCCTAGATGCATCCTTGTGTTTCTGTCTGTGCAAAGCATGAAAGCACAACTTAATTTCCTCCTAGTTTCCAGCTATGTCAGCGCTGCAAGTTCCTGCTGGCACCTCACTGCAGGTCAAGGATCACACCTTTCTACACCTCTCACTAACTGGCTGTGCCAGCAAAGACCCACAGTCTCGACATGGCCTGTATGCCAGTGTAGTGTCAAACATCAAGTAAAAACAGAAAGGGAGGTGAAAGGAAAACCTTTTACTGGCTTTGAATCTCACAGCATCCTAAGGCAAACAGCAGGAGAAAGTTCAGGGGAAAGTGGTATACATCACCTCTGGCTGGACGTTGGAGTGGCTGTGGAGCAGTGATGAGATGGGGAGCAGGAGTGACTTCCTGAAAACGTTGTCTCTGTTTCCCTTCGGATCACATGTTCGGTCGCAGAAACATTCTTAGAAATGTACTGTAAAATATGAAGCATCACACAGATCAGACACCAGCTTGCCAACACTGCCACAGCCAAATTCAGCTGGCTTGATTATTTCTGGTGAAATCAGATGAGGACTGAGTGAACCCAGCAGCTCTGCACCCCACGGAAAGAGACAAGGAGGCTGGAGGCTCTTCTCTGCCCTTGCACTTTGAACGCTGGAAAAAGGCTGTGGCATGGGGACTGAAGAAGGGTATGAAGATCCAAGGGGTCCCCCAGAGGACAGTGGTACCATGTGTAGCTACTGAGCAGAAAAATGTCTCTGCTCACAGGAGGCTATACACCTGACAGAGTACCAGCAAAAAGACAACCATGAGATCTGCCAGAGCTATGAGTCCTACAGAAACACCAGGTGTAATCCAAGTGTTTATGCTGAGATATTCCTTCATCTAACAAGAAGCACTGCTTTTCACAGGGACACTAAGCTTTGGGACCAGAGGGCTGTGGTTCTTAGAAATTCCCTTTCCCTCTTCCTTCATGGCTAGGATTCAACCTAGCTAAATTTTAACATCCAAAGGGTGACGCAGCAGAGCTTGTAACTGATTCATTGTACTGAGTTCCATCAGTACTTCTTTTTGTTTGGCTCTGCCTCCCCCCTCCCTTTTTCTGACCCCTTTCAATGCCTTGGTCCAGCAAGGCACTTAAGCATGTTCACGGAGTTGGATGGGAATCTCATGTGACTGAAGTCATGACAGTGGCTGAACTGGTCCTAAATTCTTAGATCATTCTCATTGGCCTGACACTGGCATCCCACCAGGACATCCCACCAGGACGAAGCTCTTGGTATGGGCAGGTGGGCTGACGCCGTGCTGACCATATCACCATGACATACTTCAGCACAACGTGGTCACCGCGGCAGCTCCAGCCACCACTGCACCGATCGCATTTGTCATGCCACAAAGTGGGGCTTGATGGGATAGCTTAATAAACAGGAAACATTGGGAACATCTCTTTTAGAGGAAAACAGGATCACACTTGATTCATCAAAACAAGCCTGTCCCAACTGTCCTAATCTCATCCTGTGCTTCAAAGTAAAATCACTTTTCCCTTCAGATATTGGTTTTGGAAATGTTTCTATGCAGAAACTCATCTTTTTATTCAAGTTTGTTAGTGTTTTGCTCCTCACACACATGCACACAGGTGTATAAGCATACACATCCACGTCACATGCCTGGCGGAAAATATGCACTCAGTAACACACAGCGAGATGGAGACAAAAGGTCTTACATCGGCCATCTGGATTTCCTCAGGATCCAAACGTGGATGGCTGGGCCCATTTGCAAGGCTCCTGTTCTGATGGGCAGGGCACATGTTCTGCCGTAAATGATTATGCATTTGTTTTCTTTGTTTCCTTCAAAACAGAAAGGAAAAAAATCTATTAGGGAGACTTATCCCATGGGGCTCTCTGCCCCCAGAGACACCTGGGGGACACAGACGATAGAGAAGGCAAGTCTTGGACACACTTCAGGTTTCAATGGTGTTTGTGGAAAGCTGCAAACAGGAAGAAACAAGGCATTCAACATTTGCCACCTTCTGCTGCTTTTTCAAAAAAAGGTGAAAATTTCTCATCATGGGCAATTTTGGAAGCTGGGTCCAGGGTCTCCTTTTGCAAGACAAGGTCCAGCACAATGCAGTGGAGCCAGGGGTACCATGGCACTGGGAGCAGAGGAGAAAAGTGGGGAGAAGGAAAAGGGGAAGCAGGTCCTGGCTTGGCCTTGGTGGGAAGGCACTTGATCTGTCCTGCATTAAGCACAAAGTGGCAAAACCTACCCATGCCCCTGGCAAGGCATCCACTCCACAAGACCTGCTGTGTCCTAGGGGCACCCTGAACTGAGGTGAGGTGTGTCTGGGCAGGGAAGACTGGCCATAAAAGACGTCCCCAAGCCTCTTGTTCCATCAAGATTGCTCTGAAAGTCCCTGAAATGTATATAGCTGAGCCCATAGCTCCTGCACAACAGCCCACTGTGCTTCTGCTGTCAGGAGATTAGCTGCTGGGTTGTGGGCCAGCTTTTTCCAGTAACACAGCATCACCTGGCTGGTCGAAATGATGCTGATTCAGGGTATAAGCCAATGGTCCCAGGAAAACATCCTGCTCAGGCACAGCCTGGTAGATGGCTTCACTGGCCTCCTTCCTGAGACCTTCCTGAGAACACCACAGCACAGCAACTCCTTAAAATAGCATTTGGGTGAAGAGCATGAAAGTGTGGAGCATGAACACTACCACTCAGTAACCTCTGGCCAGTTACTGTCTGTTAACCACCCATACTCACTTGGTTTTACAGTAAGCTACCACACAGACGATGCCCACCACAAGCAAGGCAACACAGATTCCCGTGATGGTTAAAACTCTTTTCTGGTAGAGCTCTTCTGCTTCTGCAAATGGAGAGAAAGAAACCAGTTACAAATGGGCTCCAGCACCAGGGATGCATCTGGCTGCACAGGAACTAGCATTGTGTGGGGGTAAGATGAAGAACAGAGCTTGGTCAGAGCTCCTACCAATCCACTGCCTGTCTCTAATAGCTGCCCCAAATCTGAGACCAGCTGGCCCAACCTTACTCACCCCGCAAGAAACCTTCACTCTTTTTGTCTCTCTGCACCTTTGCCCTTTCTCGCTCAGTAGCTCACCCCTTCTGCGCTCAAATACGCTTCTTGCTTTCTCTTCTTTTCCCACAGCATAACTCAATGATTAATCTCAAAAAGCCCCATGACTCTTCTCTCCCTTCCAGCAGATCCCCCCTTCTTGGTAACTTAGTAGCCTACCAAGGAAGTCCCCGAGCATCCCCCACTCACCACATACATGCATGCCCTGTGATGGTCTCATCACAGGCTCTCTGCTCTGACGGACTCAGAATGCCTTTTCCTTGCAGCGGCTGCATGCCCTGGAGCTCAGCGGTGTGCTAGAAACCACCTAGCAACAGGCCCCAAAGCATGTAGGTGCTGAAAGGGACATCCTAAAACAGTCAAAAAGCAGAATGAGGATGGAAAAAATGATAGTGTGTTAGACAAAGAAAAGGGAGTGGAGTAATTAAAATACAGTAACCAATTACAGTTATGGATTTTTAATGAAACCCTAAGAAGCAATTAATTCCATTGCACCAGGTAACTCAGATGCACACATAAAATTCAAGCAGCGCGCTGCTGCTTCTCTGAAATACCACCATTTGTCATGGACCACCTTTCAAACCAGAAAAGTCAGTCACTTGCATCAAAATCCAGATCATGCTGGAAGTGAGGTAATTCATTCACATTAATCAAAGCTCCAAGGAAATGCTAGACTGTCACTTGCAGTGTCACTAAACTACACCTAGGCAGCAATCACACAGCAAGAACACCTCTTCCTCTGTGACTACACCAGAGCAGATACTCTTCTCAGAGACATCCAGCAGTCTCCACTGAGATCAGCAGAGGCAATTTGGTTCTACAGCTGGATGACTGACAGAAGGCTGCCATGAGCGTTTTAGTTCAGCATATATGAACGATGTCCTCGTGCCCCCATATTATGTGTTAATATTAAATTTAATGGGGTTTGTGCCTTCTTTAATATTAATTTAAATATTTTTTTTATATAGATTAGGCAATAAAACCCATGCCATGGTTGCTGTGCTCGGCGTGGTTCACCATGCCACACTAAATACTTTGAATGGACTATATGATATCCTCAGTGCTACCAAACAATGAAATACAAAACTGGAAGAGAAACAGGTCTGGTCCCAGAAACCCCTGGGACTAGACTGTAGCAAAAAAGCAAGGGAGAAGCAATGAAACATTCCAGATAACTGAATATTTAGACCAATTTCAGCTTGCCATTTTAGGAATGAAAAAGCATTTTTGGAAGAAAAAAAAGTGCTAGGAAAAATGTTTCTCTCTTTCAAACTCTCAAAATGGGAACGAAGAAAGATTTGCTAAACAAGGGCTGAGAATGACAGCCCTGGCATGAAGATGCAAAACACAATCAGCAGAGCTTGTTTCATGCGTGTGCTGCTAAGCTAAAGAAATAAATTTCCATCCGTTTTGTTTGCACACTGGCCTTTAGCTTCATGAGGTGCTCAGGGTGCCGGTGGAGTTGCCAGGAAGGCAATGTCTCACCATTCACTAGAGAGGCAGGCAGCTGAGACTCTCCCAGACTCCGTGTCCATGGTGGTGTGGACCAAGAATGACAGGCCTTGGGCTGAAAGTTACTGCGCTACAGCAGCTTCACCAGCCAGCTGCACCTCCTCAAAGCCAGAGCCTGTATGGCCTGGGATCTGCTCATAGAGGGGGGTTTGGGTTCTGGCTGACCTTATACTCCTTGTGTTTTACTACAAGGAACCAGATGGAGCTGGCATGGGGAAAGAACTCACTCTGGGGTGAAACACCTTCAGCGATGTGTTTCCCTTGCTTGGATGCCCTATTCCAGGTATCAGCAACCATGGCAGGCAAGTTTTCTTGCCCTTGCACACCTCTGGGACCTGGATTCCAGCTGTACAGATCTTTCATTCAGACAGGAGTTTCAGAGATTTTACCAGAATCAGGAAAACCAGCTAGGATCATGTCCTGGTTACGGATGGCACTGGGTAAGAATTTTGCTACTACCCAGCAAAAAATACTTTTACCAGAAATAAAAGGCTGGGCAGGAGGTAAGTTTTCACCATGGACCCATCCATCAAGCCTATTTTTTCAAAGATTCTTCACCAGCTGTATTTTTTGCTACAAAGACTTTTTTTCCAAGCATAAATCGTTCCTTTTGAATCATGGAGGAGGGAGAAAGAACAAAGCCATCAAAACGATGGCTTTTTTTTTTTTTTTTTTTGCCTGTTACTTACATGACAAAATTTTTCACCCAAGGCTCAAATCACAGCCTCTGTTCATGTCAGTATGGGACCCTGACTCTGGCATGTCTGACTGTCCTGAACCTTCACCTGAATTGCATGGTGAATGTTTCAGTTCATCAGAAATGCAGATTTAGCCTCTCTGTCTTGAGCTGACAGCTCTGCTATGTGAAGCAGTGAAGTGTGAGGCTGTGTGTCACTGCTGCAAAACTAAAAATTAAATGACCTGCTGAGAGTAATTTAGCTTGGCTCCTAACATCTCATTAAAGTTGATGCTCGATAACACAGTATCTTCATGTTGCACAAAACCATCTCAACAGTGACAAAAAGAAAATAAGAGAATGCACACTGCAATTTTGTATTTGAGAAGGTAAGATCCTGGAGCAGGACTTGTCCATTTGTGTCTCTATGCTCTACAAACACCACGTCTTCATCAGCAGCATCGTCACTCTACAGCAGCAAACACTATGAACAAACCATGTGGTGCCACATAATGCCGACAGAATCACAGTCCAGCCATGGGTGTCACAGCAACGCATGAAAGTGAAAGACAAATGACAGAGAAGAGACGACTGCAGACTGGGAACAGGATGTGTGCAGTTCTGTGATGACATTGAGAATGGATGAGGAAAAGGACAAAAGGTCAACAAAAAAGGGATGTCAAAAATCCTCAATTTTAAAGTTTATTTAAGTGTATTAGCATTAGCAGCACCACTTTCTCTGAAACACCTGGCCACAAAATGTACACATTTTCTGCAGCAGGGAAGAACTGCTGGGGGATACACACCAATCCCGGTGGATCAGGCATGCAAAAACCAGAGAAGACAAGTTTCTCCAGCTTCAGCTAGTGCGTGTCCCTCCACCTCAGGGACCTGAGAAGACAATTTAGGATCCAGAAATGAAAGACTGGTGTCCTCATACCTCTAGCAAATGAAATTGAAATGTCTTCATGTGAAGATCTGCTCTGGCTGACATTGCTGGGTCAATGTTTTTAAGTTAAATGATAAAGATAAATCTCTCTGCTCTTATCTGGGGTTAATCTGTTGATCTGTACACTCAAGGGAAACCTAGCCTCAAGGATCTGATTTTCCAGGTGCTTACTCAAGAGATACTTGATATATTTCTAAAAACAGACTGAGGAGAATGGAAGAAAAATAATATGATTATGAGCAACTGGGCAGGAGCAGGTAATTGTCCAAAGGGGATATTTTTTAAAGCATTTAAGTTACTGCAGTGTTTTTCCAAACTTCAGCTTGCCACTATGATGCTCAGCATTACACCCTCCACTGTCATGGGAGACTACTGACTTCCCTGGGCTCACTGTTTTCTAGACTAACTCGTCTCATGCCACCTTTCTTGGAACAATTTCCTCCCGGTCAAGAACCGAAATAAGATGCTAACCTTTGGGAGGAGGAACGGCAAAGCTTGTCCTGACCCTTCGTAGAATCCAGTGGAGCTTAGTGCATCTAAGATGGCAATTTCTATAAAAGCCCTTGTTTTCCTAAAACTTGCCTTCTAGTTCCTGGAATGCCTGCCTGTTCCCAAGTGGTGCCTGCTGGCAACCTTTTGAATGGACACAAACTCCAGCTTTTCAGTTAAATACACAAAAGCATGTTAAATGAGGAGACGTATGGCAATTGTAACATCCCAGTCACGCCACACACACCAGGCTGCTGCTTGAAACAAAGAAAAAAGTGCTGCTAAAAATACACGTGCATTTTTATAGGTTTACATTTAGATTTTGTGTTTTGGTTTGGTTTGGTTTTTTGTTTTGTTTTGTTTTTTTTTTCAATCCAAACATCTATCCTGATGCCAGGGAAGAGAACAGAACAGCTGATTTTTTAATCATCCCATTAAAGCCATAAATATAATGTGGGCAGCTCTTAATGGCTTCTGATTAATAAATGAATGGTTGTTCCATACCCTTTAATTCAAATCCAAGATGCTCTGCCAATGCAGAAAGAAGACAAGGAAGAGAAAGAGAAAAAGAAAAACAGGTCTGTCAGAGATCTCTAATATACAAACACACACTGTGCAGTTACAGTAGGTTAGCTTTTCTGTAGGCTCAGCAGCAGTTACACAGAAGACAGTGTATGCTTCAGAGCATTTCAAATTCCCACCAGAGCTTATATCTTATGTAAAGAAAGACCCAAACAAATTGCAGTGGAAGTTAATTATGAATTCTTTTAGTTAATTATGAATTCTTTTGAGATGAGCCATGTTTGTTAGTACCTGATATGAAATTCACAGTTTAGGCAGGGGGAAAAAAAAAAAAGAAAGAAAAGGTACACTTGTTCTGAAACAACTCCTGACAGGTCAAAACACATAGCGACTGCATGAACCTGGTAAAAACCATTATACACTTTCTACAGGCAAAATATGCCCTGCATGGTTTCACACGCCCCTCTCTGCCTGGGGGCCTGTGCACCAAAGAAGAGCGCTGGGCAGACAGATGTGTGGGCACTTGTACGGGGCCCTGAGGCCTGCCAGCATGATTCTGCTGCCCACGACCTCAAGTCTGGTCTCGGATGCACAGCATCATCTGGCAGCATTGCCTGTAAATCACCTGACAGCGTGACAATTGTGAAAGCACTGTTCTTGGTGGTACAGATCTGCAGTTGAACCACTGATGCTGCAAGTGATTAGTTGCCTGGGCAAGGCAATGAATCCTTTGCAGATCTAAAAGTGCAAATTGCACTGAAAGTTTCCCTCAGGTCTGTGATCTTCCAAATTTCACTTCTGCTGTGATTCTGCATTGTTTTAAAAACAACAAGCATGCTGAAAAAAAGCACAAATTGGAGCATCTGCTTTCAGATTCATATTCACTACAAGTAAGATTGCAGTTCATCTTGCAGAGATAGCGCTAAGCAAAGTAGTTTACCTAATGAATCAACAACGCAGTTATCCAAAACAGGTATCCTGAATTTTAGTAATTTTCCTGGTACAGGCCTCATCTAAAGACAGTTTTTCTTACATAAACATTAAAGTTCTCCATACTTATCATTGTACACAAAGGTGAGCTCTGCTGTTCCCACCATACACACAAGATTTGCAGCTTGGAGATGTCCAGACTTATTTACTATATTTTCCATAGGAACTGCTTTTTGCTGCACAGAAATATTGGCTTTCTTTTGCAATGCTGTTCAAAATTTAGGCAGGGGGAAATTAGCACTAATTGTTATGGAACATGTAAACACATTTTCTAAAGCAGGTTCTTCTCTTCAAATCAATGCTGATGTTTGGGGTTTTTTTGCGGGGCGGGAGTTGGGTGGGGTTGGGTTTTTTAAAATTTTGTATAATTTAAAGGCCACAAAACCTGGCTGCTCTCTACTTCACAACTCATATTTGTGCAAAAGGAATAGCAAACTCTACCATGCGTTTCACAGTTATTTTGTACAAGTTACAGTGATATGGATACAATGTGGTGGGCAGCAGAAAACTGGACAGAATACATTCATCCTAAACCTCTTGGTTATCACATCTAGCCTTGACCTTTTCCTAAGGCATGCTACCATTACACACACTGTTTCACCTGACACTATGACAAATGCATGTATAGATAAATTAAATTTCATCTAAGTATCTACGCTATTGATCCATTTGATAGCTGCATACTGCCTATACTGCCACATTTCCTCCCTGTTCCAGGATTTGCTGCAACATCTACAGCTACAAATGGATGCAATTAAAAACATTTTCATGTTTTTTTGCAAACCCAGAAATGCCTCTGCAAACAGTGGTGGTGGGCAGGACCTGAGGAACTTTAGCCTTCCCACTGTCTCTCTCACATCTGAACTGCAGTTTCTTTTGGCTCACAAACTCCATGGAGCAGATACAGCCAGCTGGCTCATTGGATCTTAGCTACCGGTTCCCTGAGCAAGAGAGAAACCATGCACCCATGCAGCAGCTGGAATGTATGTGCCTGCCTATGCCTACAAATCCACCGGTAGCTTTGCAGATAGAGGAAGCCTATGCTCCTGCATCTGATATCCATGGCTACTCAACACTTCTCTGTCATCATTTCAGGCTACAGACATTGCTTCTGTATCACCCATAACTGAACACATCCAATAGGGAGCCACTCTCCCCTTCCCCTGCTCAGGAGTTCCTCCTACCCTGGGCAGGTATTGCCTTCTGTGCTGGGACAGTGAAGGAGGAGACACTTCAAGAGCAGGCTGGGATTTGGAGGGTTTGCCTCTTCTCTAAAGAAGAGACTGTTCAAAATTATTAAACATGGTACAATCTAGAGGCTAAGGAAATGACCCCAGCTCCAGGAAAAACATCGCTTCAAAATGTAATAATTCTGCATTCAGCAGAGGGATATCATCTTCACAAACATGGCTTACTACATAGTGTGTGCCTGTTTTATATCAGCAATATACTGCTTGGTAGCAAACATGTTTGAGAAATCAAAATTTCACCTAGAGACAACAATTATTTTGGTCTGGAGCAAAAGATATTTCTGACTGCATACCATGTTTGAAAGAAGTCTCCTTTGCTTTTTTAAGAGGTTGATCAGGAAAAGTAATACATCTTTAAAAACTTTGAGTTATATTTGCTGCTAGGTGGAGAAGATGCTCAGCGTGACATGCAGCACCTGCACTGTATCCTGCAATAGTTCAGTCAGCCTGCATTTCACTCACCCTTCCAGTTAGACTGGCAGACTTGACTGCTGGGGATGCCTAGAAACCTTTGGGCAATAGTGCCCTCTGCAGCCATTAACCATACAGAGGGATGCATGAAGCCAAGGTAAGTCCTCCAGCTCCTTGAGATGGTGATTCACTCCACGCTGACAGAGGTGTTTGCAATGAGGTGTATTGTATCCCAGGCTGTGTCAGAGGTAGCCTTTGGGATAGCTAAAATTAAATGGATGAATCCCACCTGTAGAGACAAACTGATATATGCCAGGAGTGCTGGCTGAGTGCAGCAGTACTCTCCAACTCCCATGGGACAAGCTCCATTGGAAGCAATATATGCAAAGGCTACCAAGTAAATAAATTACAGTAAGACAGCACTGAGATGGTAGCTCTAGGCTGAGGAGTTGGGCATATTATTTTTCTCACATCATTAATCTTCTGTCTGAACTCTACACACGCTCCATGGTCATGGCAAGGAGCTAGGGCTGAGCACCCTGAACTGCTGTGGGACTCCCTAAACTATATGAAGTGGGGACATGTTTTTTTTTTTTAAATTTTGTTCCAAATGTGCCTGCCTTCTGAACCTTTCTCAAAATATTGGACTTAAGCTAGAACCTGTTCTTCCTAATGCAGCCATCAGTGTTAAGGAAACAGTATCTACTGGCCTCTTGAATGCATTACTTTGCGGTATTTAAGTTATTTCTTGTACCTAAAAGCTAAGCTAGGCTCCCGTGTTGATCCCAAAGGAGACTGGACCAGTAGTTTGGAAATGTTCAAATACCTAACTACTGTATGTATGACAGAAGGCTGTCCAACAGAGAAAGGCAGCGAGCATGGGAGAGTTGAGGAAGGGAAAAAGGGAAAAAATATGAAAGAGATGACAAAAATGATTGATTTTCACACTCTTTGTCTCAGCTGCAGCACGTCTGCGTGGGATTCAGGTTGGATCCCATCACCCAGACTGTTACCACCCAGCTGTTCAAAGCAGGGCTTGCTGAAGAGTCAAGCGATGCATGGACCTCACACTCAAGCCCCCAAAGGTTGACATTCAGCTGAGGCGGACTGAAAGAAAAAATTCAGTTGGATTTAGGTGTTACCAGTAGGGTAACAGGTGGGTACTCTGTGGAACCACTGTCATAAATTTTGTGGTGGATATTTTTCTCATCGGACAGAGGACAAATTCCTACACTTACTTGATCCGCAGTGACTTTGTGACTATGTTTTTCTCTAGAATGTATTTTACCTGTTTTAAAAGATAAACAGACAAAAACATTTGATCCAAAATATCCTTATAGGAGTAACACCTCAAGACAAGATGGCTCTCACTGAACTGTAGATTTATAGGATGATTAATAAGACTAAAAGCCTTAGCAAATAGCTGTGAAAACTGGGCCTGTGCTCACGTGGACTTCAGATTGCCCAAGGACGTCATTAAGATGCTTAGTTACCACATGTATTATTCCCCCCAAACACGGCTGGGTCCCCCAGAGGGCTATCTGGGTCACAGAGCATGAAACAAAGTGGAGAATTAACATCTGAGGACTAGCAAGACAGACTATTGACAATAAATTATACTGACAAGAGTAATACTTGCAGCACCCTGGTCCAGGCTTCCCCCAGGGGGTACAGGGAGCAATGCAAGACAGTGATGCTGGGGACAGAGGACACGGTGCTCATGTTAAGGACTGGGCAATACGTGGGATCTCCAAGTAAAGAAAGTCTGCAAACTTTCCACAAACTGCACAGCCATTTAGCTTGTCCAGTACTGTATCAATAAAAATAATTTGGTAGGCCTCAGGAGTCCAGATACATAACAATAGAGTACTAGCAAGCTGCTGTGGATTAGCATGCAATTAACTTTAGGAGATCCCAAAGAGTAACCTGTACTGCCGTCCAGGGGAGAGGAATAACCATGTTATGATAAAACACAAATGCCCTGTAATTACCCAGCCACACCACAGTGTAGTCATCACCCTGTAATTAAGTGGTCAGCGGTTATCGTGTCATTGAAAGGAAGCCGCAGAATGTTTGTGGAATTTAAAATGCTGCTAAATATTGTTTTAGGGTTCAGATGAGTGAGAGGTGGAGGAGGAAACAGAAAGGTAGGTAAAAAAAAGAAGTATTCTTCTGCTTATAATTTTTGTATCACAATCAACAGGTATGAAACTATTGCTGAATAAGTGAATTGAAGTGAACAGAGAAGCTGAAATTCAGATATAGACCTTCCCAGAAGAGCTTGAAGTGGTACATTTATCCCTCTGCTCACTGGGACACTTCACCTCAGTGTGAGGAGCAAGCATCCAAAACCCA